ACATGAAGAATGTAATCAATGTCACTGAATTGTCCATGGAGAAACTGTTGAATGGGTGTATGTTCTGCTGTGTATATCCTCAACAACAACAACAACAAATGAAATAAATTATTTAAAAAAATGCTGGGTTGGTGGTTTGGGGAAGGAAGACATGCCATGTCTACTGTGGATTAGGGTCCACCCCCAGCCTGCCCTGGAGAAGCCCCCCAGGAAGGTCAACATGAATCACACTGGGGAAACCAGGTGAACAATGCGTGAAGAGACTTGGAAAGAAACACGGGGTGTGACTTAGAGGGAGACTGGGGTGTCACAGTGAGTTCAGGACGTGGTCTTAGAAAGGGAGGGAGGTGGAGGGCAGAGGGTTATTCCTCAAACAGAACCAGCATTGAGGAAGCTCCTGTGTGCCCAGCATGTGGCCTGGGGAGGGACCTGCAGGAGAAGGCCTGGCCCCTGCTCCACCCTTACAAAGATACCGGTCTGGCAGGAGAGACAAAAACTGGGCACCTAAACCACCGAAAGAATGACTCACAAATTACAAAGCTATGCATGGGCAGGAGAAACCCCAAATCGGGACAAGGTTAGCTCAGACAGTGCCACACAGGCGGCTTTGACTACCTTGGGAATCTTGGATTCTTTTTTAATTGAGGGATTTACATTTTTTATATTATTATAAATAAATATATATTTATATAACTATTATTTTACATAAATAGATGTATTTTTCCTTCCGTCAACTATTTATTTTGAAAAAATTCTCAATTTACTGAAAAAAACCCATTATCTTTGAGTCGATTCCGAATCATAGTGACCCTATAGGACAGAGTAGAACTGCCCCACAGGGTTTCTAAAGAGCAGCTGATGGATTTGAACTGCTGACCTTTTGGTTAGCAGCCAAGCTCCTAACCACTGCGCCACCAGGGCTCCTCCCAACCTACAGACAAATTGAAAGAATAATACAATGATACCTCCCAACCTAGATTCACCGATTGTTAACATTTTGGCCACCTTTGCTTTAGTCCTCTATATTTGTACTTTATTTTTTCTGAACTGTTTGAGAATAAATTGCCATCATTATGACCCGAAACCCATCGCCGGCGAGTCTATTCCAACTCATCGCGACCCTATATGACAGAGAAGAACTCTCATTGAGTTTCCTAGGCTGTAAATCTTTGTGGCAGTAGACTGTCAAATCTTTCTCCCATGGAGTGGCTGGCGGGTTTGTACTGCCAATCTTTCAGTTTGCAGCTGAGTGCTTTAACTACTGCACCACCAGGGCTCCCTGTTATCATGACACTCACCCTTAAATATGCAGCTGGCATCTCCTAAGAACAAGGCCATTCTCCTACCTATCTACAGTGTCATTACCACACTGGAGAAATGTAACACTGATACAGTACTGTCATCTATAGATGGCTCACAATCAAGTCTCCCCAATGGTCTCAAAAACAACTTTTGTAGCTGATTTTTTTTTCGCCCTATCTAGGATCCAATTAAGGATCATATTTTTCATTTGTTATTGTTAGGTGCCATGGGGTCGATTTTGACTGATAGAACTACCCCCATTGGGTTTTCTTGGAGCCCTGGTGGCGCAGTGGTTAAGAGCTCAGGCTGCTGACCCAAAGGTCAACAGTTCAAATCCACGAGCCGCTCCTTGAAAATGCTATGGGGCAGTTCTACCCTGTCCTATAGGGTCGATATGAGTTGGAATCGACTCGACGGCAGGTGTGAACCGCCAACCTTGTGGTTAGCAGCTGAGCGGTTAACCATTGTGCCACCAGGGCTCTGACAAGATTTCATTTAGTTGTCAGAATATTTTGCTAAGCTGGAAGATAGGTACATGGGTGTTATTGTACTATTCTTTATATTTCTTAACAATATTTAATATTTTTTTAGGAGTTAATTACAATGCTGCCAGTGTGAATGGACCCAGCTCTTATTTACAGGTGTGAATCACCAAGAACAGTAGCGAATCCCCAGATCCTTTCTATTTGGCTTTAGAATGTAGCCCGTCACTTACATCTGAATGTAGAAACTGACTTCGTGTCCTGATTCAACACATTTTGGGGACACCTCCCTGACAGGCCCCTACCTGCCCCAGCAGCCCCCTCCTGTCCCCGGGGGTCATTACAGACTGAGTTCGCACAGGGCCTCTCTGTTTGCAGAATAAACGGAGGGGGTTGTGATGTCAACACAGAACAGCCTCAAATACAGCAGGTGCTTAAAAAGCAAAGCAAGATCTGCCTCTGATGGCCAGACCTGAGCTATGGAGAGGGAGGAGTGGACACAGTTCCTTCCTTAACAAGCTGGCGGCTGGCCACTCCTGTGAGCACGCCCTGCTGAGCTATTGAGAAAGGGAAGAAAAGGAGGGGAGGGAAGGGAATGCACTTTGTTTCGTTTGACTCCTCACTTCCACCCTGGAGGTGAGTATTATAATCCCCATTTCATGCATAAAGAAAGTGAGGCCTGAACCTGGAGAGTAGGGGTGGCAACAGAACCAACCAGGTGCCCGAGTGCCAAGAAGAGGAGGTGACTGTTAGGTGAGGCCAGTCAAGGAGAGAGGATGTGGGGGTGAGGGTGGGTGCATAGCAGGCTTCGGGCTGGTAAGGTCATGGGTGCAGGGCCTGACTGGGGCTGAGGGGTTTAGAAGCCCCCATCCCAGAACTGGAGGCCACTTCCTGCTCTGGGTCTGGGGGCTTTGGTGAATGATGGTAAGAAGGCAGGTGAATTAACAGGGTCAGCTTTGTGGGTGCCTCAAGCAGCCTGCTTAACCTCCCTGAGCCTCATTACCCAACTGTGCAATGGCGATAATAGCAGCTCCTGCTTCAGAGGTCCAGAGAAGGTAGTATACCCACACCTGGCACGGAGTTGGCGCCAATGTTACCGGGTTGTGTTGATTGAAGCTGGCAGCTTTGGCAGGGAGGTGGAGCAGGGCCTGAGCTGGGAGCAGGGGGGCTAACGTTGGACAGGGGATGGCAGGGGTGCAGGCAGGAGTACTCACGTAGCCGCAGGCCCGGCAGTGGTGGCGACGGCGCATCAGGGCGTTGAAGGGCTCCTGGCAGCGCATGCACATGGTCACCATCTTGTCTCGGACCCACTGCGGCGCCCGGAGGCCCAGCTCCTCCGACTGCAGCTGTGGGAGGAGGGGGAGTTGGGCATCAGAGTGGGCACTTCTTGACTCCCTTCTGCCTACTCCCCGAGGCCCTGGGGTCCTCTGCCCGCCCATCCGCTCATGACAGGGATTACATGTGTGGTGCTTCCCAATGGCTTCCACATGGAGCAGACTGACCTGATAAAGACCATGTGGGAGGCCAGTTACTATGATCCCTATTTTACAGATGAGGAAACTGAGGCCCAGAGGTCAAGTGGCTCAGAAGATCACCCAGCAAGCCAGAGTTCAGAGCTCAAATTTGAAGTCAAGTCACAGACACTCACTATAACCCCTACCCCACCATCTTTCCACCTTCTCTTGGCCTCCCATTTCTCAGACACTTTCAAACCCCAGCATGCACCTCTGCCCACAGCCAGAGATATAGACGTGGAACACTTCCCAAGGATAGTTTCCTATAGATGGAACCAAAGGAATCTTTCGCTAATGGGGAGCCTTCGGCAGTGCAGTCACTAAGTAGGGTGATGTTGGGGTGGGAGGGCTTCCCCTGGTCCCTTTAAATCACATCTGGCAGGTGACAGTCTCCCTCCCTCCTACCTGGCCTGGGTAGAACAGAGAGAAGGAACAAGCCGTGTTTGCAGCTGGTGGCTCCAGCGATGGGTGCAAAAGGCTACATTTACCTCCTGCTCCTGAGTGTCTCCCTCAGGCCCCTGGACTGCAGCCTTGAAGGTTTCATTCCGCTTCTCAATTTGGTCAATGGCTGCTTGGCAGGCCTGGGGACAGAGGGGGAAACAGACTGCTCATCTGTCCCTCCATCCACATATTCAACAAACATTGCTGAGAACCTACTGGGTGCCAGGTGCTGGATCCTGAGCACACATTGGCTGATGTAAGGAGGGATAAACTATTAGCCCCAAATGACAAATGTGAAAATTGAGGCTGAGAAAGGTTAAGTGACTTCCCCAGGCCACCCAGCTAGGCAGTGAGAGGGCAGCAAGATTTGAACCCAGGTCTCATTCCAAAGGTGGTATAGCTACCAGAAAGAGTGGGGAGCAGCTGGGTACACCTAGCGCCTCTCTCTTACTGTCTCTCTCTCTCTCTCTCTCTCTCTCACACACACACACACACACACACACACACACACGTGTGCACAAATACACACACATTCACCCCTCTCCCTCAGCCTGGGTGGGCTAAGCCAGAACCACAGCCGAAAGGGGCCCCAGAGTATTCTGATACCTGCATCCAGGAAATCATTTCCTCCTGGGACCTGCTCGGAAAGCGAACACAGGTGTTGAGTGGAGCAGCCGCTCCCCGTTTTCCCACCACTCGCCCGGCCCCCAGCTGGCCTACCGGGCTTGCAGCTCCAGAGTGCGCTGCTTCCCAGACACCAGGAAGGCATTAGGGAACTCCACATCGCTCAGCTCCCGCACCTTCGTGGGGATAAGACGGAGGGGACCAGGTCAGGCTTGTCACCCCTCTAGGCACTATGGAGGGGGGAGAGGGGAGGCTTGCCAGAGGCAAGAGGGAGTTGAGGAATGGGGAGCAAGGACAGAAGCCTGTTCCCTGCCTCCCTCATCTCGTTGAGTCAAGCAAATATGTCTGCAACTGAGCCTTGCTCTGAGCAAACGCGGCTTATGGCCTTTGGAATCTTAGGAGCAGGTAAGTGGGCCCAGTGCAAGCTGGGTGTCTAAGTTATCTAATGCTGCTATAACAGAAATACCACATTCAACCCTTTGGCCCCCCAAAATTCATATCCTTGCCACATGCAAAACACATTCACCCCATCACATCATTGTAAAAGTCTTAAATCAAGTCCAAGTCCAAAATCTCATCTTCTGAAGCATCGAAATTAAATATAAGTGAGACTTTAGGCATATTCCATCCTGGGGCAAAATTCCTCTCCATCTGTGAACCTATGAAATCTAGAATACAAGTTATCTGCTTCCAAAATACAATGGTAGAATAGGCTCAAGATAGACATTCCATTACAAATGGGAGAAATTGGAGGGAAAGAGAGGATAACAGGTACCAAGCGAGTCCAAAACCAAGCAGAACAAATTATATTAGCTCTCAAGTCTTGAAAATAATCCTCTGTTTTCTCAGACCATCTGGGCAATGGCCTCACCCTCCAGACTCTAGGTGTTGGCCACATCCTCTAGATTCTGGGTGGAGGCCCCTCGGCCCTGGGCTTCAGCTTCACCTTCCAGGCCCACTAGGATGGCAACTCTACTCCGTTCGCTTTGGATGGCCCCATTCTCCCAGTCCATCTGAGTGATGACCCCACTCCCTCAGCCCCAGCAGGCACCCTTCTTCTGCCCCTTGGGCATGGCAGCCTCACCCCCTCAGCTATGGGTGGCAGCCCCATCCCCCCGGCACACCTTAACGGCAGCCCCACACTCCAGAACCAAGTTGGTGAAGATCTGACTCTTTGAAACCTAGGAGGCTGTGGCCCCACCCTTTGAGATCCAGGAGGCTGTGGCCCCACCCTTTGAGATCCAGGAGGCTGTGGCCCCACCCTTTGAGATCCAGGAGACTGTGGCACCACCCTTTGAAACCGAGATGGCCCTGCTTCCCACACTCCTTCCAATAGTTCTGCTGATCTCTGAGCTGCTCCAGGAATGGTCCTTTTCTTTTCTCGGAGGACAACAGATGTAGTTCCTTTGGCCTGTTTCCTGCCTGTAGAATTCTAAGAGGCAGACAGCGTTCTTTCCTTTGTTCTTTCTCTGTCCCCTTCAGTCTAAGCTGATGGGTTTTCTGCTGTGGAGTTTGGTTAGATCCATCAGTCACAGGCTTAATCTCTTTAACAAAAGACATGTAGTCACATCCTTGGTGAACATTCTAGGACACGTATCCTTAGTTTGTACAACAGAATTTTCCAAATCTTTTAAGTTCTGTTTTCATTTTTCACTGTTCATTTTTAAGTCCATCTTTTTCCTCTTGTATTTACTGTAAGCAGCAAGGAGAAACTACACAGCCCCTTAAGATCTTGCTTAGATATTTCATCAGCCAAATATCCAAGTCCATCACTTACAAGTTCTCCCTTCCACCAAACTTTGAACATAATTCAGACAAGTTCTTCGCCACTGTAAAAAAGCATCACCCTTCCTCCATTGTCCAATCACATGTTCATCATTTTCTTTTTCAAGCCTCACCAGAAGCACATTTAGTGTTCATTAATGCCAAAAATGGAAACTGTGTCTCAAAACCAGATCTGGGGACACACAGCTTTTCAAGAGAAGCCCAGGGCCTAGAATAAGACCCCTATCCCACACAGTGAATGATTGCCCAATTCATAGATCAAACAGATCCCCCACATCTCATCTTCCCCAGTCCTCTTGCCCCAGCTCCAAGGGTCCTGAAGCATTATGAGAGCTGCCAATCATAGAGCACTTACTATGTGATGGGTATTAAGTTCAGGGATCTCCATGCATGTTCTCATTCAATCGGCACAACTCCCGAACCCACTGACCAATCTTAACATTCCCCGAAAGAGACATAGCTAGACATTATGTGACCCCTGAGGCAAGAACCTATCAGTAGCTATTCAGTCTTCTTGCACCACTGAATCTGGACAAGTCCCTAGATTCTCTACCAGTTTACAAGAAATATGGGCGACAGAGGGAGATGTTAAATGATACCAGGGGGGTGCAGTCTGCAAAATCCAGATTGTGGGAAACTCTAAAAGAGAAATGACCTGATTTCTTCAGTTAATGTTGTTTTTAGCTGCCATCAAGTTTGCCTCCAGCTCATGGACCCCATGTACAACAGGAATGGACAATTGTGTGCCATAGGGTTTCTACTGGCTGATTTTTGGGAGTATATCACCAGGCCTTTCTTCCTAGTTTGTCTTGGTCTGGACACTCTGCTGAAACCTCTTCAGCATCCTAACACCAGACAAGCCTCCACTGCCGGGCAGGTGGTGGATGTGCATGAAGTGCATTGGCCTGGAATTGAACCCAGGTCTCCTACATGGAAGGCAAGAATCCTACCACTAAACCACCTCTTTAATTAATAAATGGCAAAAAAAAAAAAAAAAAAGCAGGAGAGGAAAGAAGAGTCCTATGTGATTTGGACTCAGTACGCTTGACCATGGGGAGGCCCTGCAGCTTCATAAACAAAGAAGGTCATGTGAAGAGAGGGGTTTGGGGAAAGCCACCCAATCTCTGATGTCTGCTGTGTTTGGTACTCTCTTAGATGGAATGTCCTTGTGCAGTGCACAAGCTGCACAGCCGTATCAGGAGACCCTAGGTGTGTGCACCTGTTGGGGCAAAAGGCTAGATCTGGGCAAACTGGTATCAGTCTGTAGCCCAACGTCCAGTTAGGAAGTGATACAATAAATGGTCCAGGCCTACCTGAGGCCTAACTCGAGTGACTGCACTTAGAGAGAGAGAAGGGGTTCCTAATTGGGGGACAATGTCAGGCAGTCTGGCAAGATTATGTGCCTAATTGGGTGAGGGAGAGGGAAGAGGGGGCACAAGGGTAAACCCAAGGTTTGGAGACCAGAACGCATTGCCGTGGAGTCGATTCTGACTCATAGCAACACTATAGGACAGAGTAGAACTGCCTTCACAGGGTTTCCAAGGCTGTAAATCTTGACGGAAACAGACTGCCACATCTTTCTCCCACAGCGCTGCTGGTGGGTTCAAACCACCAACCTTTTGGTTAGCAGCCAAGTGCTTAACCACTTTCCCACCAGGGCTCCTTGGAGACCAGAAGTGAGAAGAAATATAATGGTTTTCATAAGAAAAGAGGACTAGGGGGAGTTCCTGACCTGAAGGGCCAGGATGCCCTGGTCTGTCCCCATTATCATCTCTGCAGAGGAACAGAATGAGGTTTCTTGAGGTCAGGTCCCTGAGCTCTGCTGTGGCTGGTCTCAACCACTCTCCCTAGGTCTGGGCTTCAGCCTCCTGCTAGCTCATACAGCGCCTTTGTGCAAATTAGAAAAGAACACCCCCTTCCTGAAAACACTTTACTGACACCTGACGGCAAACTGGCAAAATACCCAAATTTTGTTGGAACAAGATACTTGACTGCCATCTGCCGGACAATTCTTTTTATAAGTATACAATTTATGACGCCTGCTGTGTTTGGCACTCTCTTAGATGGAATGTCCTCGTGCAGTGCACAACCTGCACAGCCGTACCAGGAGACCCCAGGGGTGTGCACCTGCACCCTTTCCTTCCTCTCTGGCTGGCTCTATGTAGGATGGCCTAACGCTAGGACCGGGCCAGACCTTGGGGAGAGTCAGCTACTGAGAACTAGGCCTTCCTGACACCCAGGGACTCATAGGCCAGTGGCAACCATCATGGCAGGTCGACCGTCAGATCGGCTTCCAAACCTCAGACTTGGGAAACGGTTCCCAGACAGATGCAGGGCGGTGGACAGCTCTGCGTCTGCCATGCCTGTGCCATCCAGGAGAGGGTGCTGTGTGCCCGTCAGAGCACAGGACACGCCACGGGGGCATGCTCATTGGGATTGGCAGGTGCCAGGCAATGGCACACAGGGCCTTTGAGTCCTGGACACACACTATGCATCTGATGTCCTTCGCTTTTCTCTATTTTCTCTTTATGACTCTGCTTCGGTCTGTATTTCTTGGCCTCTCTGTTTAAATCTCCGTCTCCCTTTTTCTATGACTGGGTTTCTGCCTGTCTCATTTCTGTGTCTGTCTGTAGCTCTCTATAAACCTGCCTCTCTTGGTCTCACTCACCAAGGACCCCAAACACACAAACCTGCATGTCCTGGCCTCTGGAACATTCTGGCTTCCTCAGAAGATGGAAAGCTGGATGCCCCCCAGGCAGGGGCTATGCCCCTGGAATGCCTCAGTCAGCTCAGGCATGGGGTGTGAGCTGTGACTCCCCAGAAGGTACCCGTGTCCCTTCATCAGCCCCCTCATCCTCATACTGCGCCTCAGCCCCAGGCCCTGGACTCGGCCCCAGGTGAGAGGCAACCCCAGTCAGGAGCAGGGGCAAGGCCCTCATGCAGAGAATTCTCAGAGGCCCCTGACTGCAGCTCCCTCCTGAGACTGATCCCCAGGGCTTGGCCAGGGATGGGGGGCGGTTTGAGAATGGGAATGGAGAGATGAAAGGGTGCCAAGATGTATCAGACCAGACCTCTGCTTCTTCCAGACCAGCTCCCCTGCCTCTAGGGCATACTAGGTCTCAGGAGCTATCAGACGGGGGACAGAGGGGTGGCCAAGAAGGATCTCCCACCATTTCCTCCGCTATGCCTGAAATTTCATCTAAACTTTATCCCTCTGGATTGAAGGCTTAATAGGAGACAGTACAATAGCATAGTGATTAGGTACAAGGTCATTGGACTCTGTAACATCTTGGTTTTTAATCCTGGTTTTGTCGCTCAAACCAGGATTTGCTGTTTGTCCCCAAACAAGTTACTTGAACTTTCTGGGCCTTGGTTTCCTTATATTTAAAAAAATGGGATTCACTATTGGTATATTCACACATGGGCAAACTGTCCAAGGTTACTCATTGCGGTCTCGTTTGCGGTGGCTGATGATTAAAAACAGCCTAAACATTGGTCAGTAGGGGACTGAGTCCCCAGGTGGTACAAACAGTTAATACACACTTGGCTGCTAACTGAAAGGTTGGAGGCTTGAGTCCACCCAGAGGTGCCTTGGCAGAAGGGCCTGACTGATGATCTACTTCCAAAAATCAGCCATTGAAAACCCTTTGGAGCACAAGTCTGCTCTGACATACATGGAGTTTTAAGCACCCAAAGGACCCTTGGTGGCACAGCAGTTAAGTGGTCAGCTGCTAACCCAGAGGTCGGCGGTTCGAACCTACCGGCCACTCCATGGGAGAAAGATGTGGCGGTTTGCTTCTGTAAAGATTAGAGCCCTGGAAACCCTCTGGGGCAGATCTACTGTGTTCTGTAGCATCGCCGTGAATCACAATCAACTCGATAGCAATGGGTTTGGTTTTTTTTTTATTTAAACGTCCATCAGTAAGGGTCTTGTTGTATAAATTACAGTGTATCTACACAGCGGAATACTATGCAGCTGCGCAAAGGATGAGGCAGCTCTTCACGTCCTGATATGAAACAATCCCCAAAATCAGTAGATTAAAAAAAGCAAAGTGTAGAATAGTGTATGGAGCATGCCACTGTTTATGTGAAACGAAAGTGAGGAAATAATAAGAAATAGATTGTTTGTGTATGCAAAGACTACCTCTGCAAGACCTCACAAGAAGTAACGGCTGTCTTCGGGAAGGGGAACTAGGGGACAAAGTTGGGAGGAGACCTTTCGTTGTAAATATGTCTATAATGTTTGATTTTGGAATGTGATCTTGGGCTGTGAGTTATCTATATTTTTAAGTAATAAAATTATCTTTAAAAGGTAAGAGCCCTGTGGGGCTCTTCTGAGACCTGAAGGGATGAGGTCTGGCCCAATCCATGGGGGCACCCTGCTGATGGGCACTATTATGGATGACAGTTCTTGCTCCTTTGCAGCCATCTCTGGGTGGGGACAGATAGGAGCCAGCAGCTGAGCTGACAGAGTGGACCCTTCCTACTCAACATGTGCCCTGTGGACCTGCAGCAGCAGCACCACCGGGGAGCTGGTTAGACATGTAAAATCTTAGGCCCCGCTCCAGACCTACCGAGTCAGAGTCTGCATTTTAACAAGATACCCAGGGGATTCGTACTCATATGGGAGTTTGAGAAGTGCTGGAGTGAGCTAAGCCAGAGTGTGCACTTCCCAAAGAGTTGGCCAGGTGGGTGGAAACCTGGGAGGGGCCTTGGGCAGGAGGGCTGGGAGCCCGTGGGAGCCTTCTTGCCCCAAACTGTTGCATCTCCAAGTTTGCCCAGGACCTGCCAGGCTTCAGTACTTGGAATGAAAATCTGACTGGGTCCCTCCTGCTATTCCCCACATTCGTTCCTGCTGTCAAAGTGAAGCCTGATGAAGGTTGAGGGTGTGATGTTTAATTTTATGTGTCAGCTTGGCTAGGCGATGATCCTCAGTGGTTTGGCAGACACTAGACTGGTTACTGTTCCACAATGTAATGTAGTGTAATAACCTTCCATGATGTGATCAGCCAATCAGCTGAAAGGGGAGTTTCTTTGTGGGTGTGGCCTGTCCTCCAGAATATAAACAGATGTTCTGGCAGAGCTTGCTGTCTCTCAACCCTGCGCTCTTCTCATTGCCTGACCTACAGATCTTGGGATGCAAGCCTGTAGAAGTCTCTGGCCTGCTATCTGACCTACAGATTTGGGACTTGCCAGCCCCTACAATTGTGTGATCCATTTCCTTGAAGTAAATCTCTCTCTCTATATATATATACATATGTAGGGGACAAAGTTGGGAGGAGACCTTTCATTGGAAGTATGTTTCATTGTACATATGTATATATACACACACATATATATAAACACATCTCACTAGTTTTGCCCCTCTAAAAAGCAAAAAACCCGTTGCCGTTGAGTTAATTCTAAGTCATAGTCACTCTATAGGACCGAGTACGGTTTCCAAAGCTATAATCTTTACAGAAGCAGACTGCCACATCTTTCTCCCGTGGAGCAGCTGGTGAGTTCGAACCATTGACCTTTCAGTTAGCAGCTGAGTGCTTAACCACTGCACCACCAGGGGACTCCTCTAGAAAACCCAAATTAACACAGGGGACCTCTCACCTTCATCCCAGCCACATCAATGCGGGTCCTCACGTGGAAGTGGGCGCCCACCTGGATGACCCTGGGCACACAATACAGCAGCATGTTGTTGAACTGCAGGAGATACAGACGCGAGGGCGTGCGTGAGTGTGTGTATGGGCAATGGCGGGACGGGGTGGGGGCAGGCAGGAAGATGGTTAGGTGGGGCTCCCCGAGGTGTGCTAAGCACGCAGCTTCTCCCTCCCCGCTCCCCACACTCTGGGCCAGCTCACAGGATGTCACAGGCATGGCAAGGAAGGGGTTGTCTAGCCTCCAACCCAGTTAGGGAGGTCACTGTAGGGTCACCCTACCTGTTAGCATCAAGGACCACAGCAGACCTTGGAACCCCATGAGGTCTTTCTTATAGGAGCTCAGGGCAGCGGGGGCTTATGAGAGGCTGTGGCCCCATCCCCCAGACCTCCAGGCAGGCCCATGTGTCCTAATCCCCAGGAGATCCCCTGGCTTCTTCAGTGCCAGCCAGGGCAGTTCTTCTTTGATGCTTTATAGCACCAGTTAATACCACAGGCTTTGGAGCCAAATAGACTGCATTCAAATACCGTCTCTACTGTTTCCTAGGGCATGTCTGGGAAACCTGTGGCTTGGAAATCCCAGAGGCCTGGAGGCAGCACGTGACTTGTCCAAAGACACTGGGGTACTTAAGGCAGAGAAGGACAGAGAAGCCTGCCCTTCCCTTGCTCTTCCTTCAGGGCCAGGTTAAGGCCAAGACCCGGGACAGAGTGGTCCATGGACTTCTCTCACCAGTGTGCGGTAGGGACCCCCAGCACCCCCTACCAAGAACAGGTAGCGCTCCATGGGGTCGCTGCGGCGGAAGGAGATCTTGAGCACAGGGCCCTCACGGAGTAGGGTATTGGAGGGGTCTACTATGTCGTCTTCGAGGCCCAGGCGCTGGTACACCTCCCACAGATCCTGCAGCCGTTCCTGGGGATGGGGCAGGGGGAGCACCCTTAGCCAAGGGCAGGCAGGGCCCATCTGCTCTGGAAGGGTTGCCTTGTGGGGATGGGGGCAGAGGGTGTGAGGGGGAGGGCAGCAGAGGGGACAAGTGTCATGAAGTCGGGCCAGGGATGAGTGGATACAGTGACCAGGGTATGTTGCGAGGAAGGCTGAGACTTGCAGGGAGGAGGTAGCAGGGCCCCAGGGCATGCCCGCTGCTCCCACCCCCCGGGCTGGGCTGCTCACCATCTCTGTGATGGCTGCGTTGGAGTGCTGAGCAGCCGAGAAGATCATGTCGAGGGCTTCTGAAGGGGGCAGGACCAGAGTTATTGCCCGAAACTCTGGGGCTCATGGCTGGAGCAGGAGGTCCTTGAGGCTTCACACAGTGGCCTCAGGATCTGCTACATCCACTCCCAGGAGCAGCCACATCTACTCCCAGGAGCAGCCCTGACTGTGCAGACCAGCACATGGGGCGTCTGCACCATGGGGGCCATTTCCCACCCAGGGTAGAGAGACTGGAAGCCACCAAAGGGCAGGGAGTAGGCACTGGCTTCTGCAACTCTCACTGCTGTCCCTACCAAGTGGGACCCAGAGCATGTAGTGAAGAGAGCATGGGCTGCGTCATCAAACAGGCATGGGTTCAAATCCCAGTCTGCTCCTTTCTGGTTGTGTGACCTTGGGCTAGTCACTTACCCTCTCTGGGCCTTAGCATCCAGGTAAGGGTACAGATAGTGTCTACAAAGTACCTACGATCGATGTTAATAACTGGTTCTCATAATAATTATTTTAGCAGATGTCAATAAATCAAAGGAACTTAGGACTCCCCAGCCCCCTGGACCCTTGGAGGTGTTCTCACTCTGGGCGTCGTCCCGGTCTGGGGCCTGGGCGGGCAGCTTCTGGACATACTCTTTGAGTAGCAGCTCATAGCGTGGAATTCTCTGCACAGGCTCCAGCATGTGGTGCTGCAGGGTTAGGCTGCCCGAGGCCTCGCTGCTCTTGGGGATGAACAGGGAGAGGAATGGGGACAGGTGAGAATAGAAAAGGGAGGGTCAGGCTGCCCTCGAGCATCGGGGATTGGGCAAGGCTGGCGGGTAGTGGGGCCTGTCCAGGCAGCTGAGCTCAAGAGAGGACTGCCAGACCCTGGTATGGGCGTGGCCCAGGATCATTCGGGGAAACTGAGCCACTGCACGGTGGGGGTGGCAGCACTCAGACCTCCCCCACCCAACCTCACCTGGATGCGTGTGATAACCTCCTGGAATGGTGGGGACTTGTCTGTCCAGGTGGCCAGCAGCTCAGCAGCTCGCTCAAAGTTCTTTACATACTCACTGTACATCTTCAGGAAGGGGGCCAGCTTCTGGATCACATCGCCAATGCGGGGGGTGGCTGTCCTGCAGAAAGGGCACCGAGCATTGCCCTCAGCCTGGGGCCCTCCTCTCCTGGCCCCTGACCCATGCACTTCCGGGTGCAGGCACAGGGGAGGGCCATGTTGTCTTCACACATACGTGTGTGGCTGAGCCCCACCAGTACGCCGCCCTGCCACTTAGAGCTCCCTGAGAGTGCACGCTGTTCTCTTCCAATGGTTGGTCTCCCCGACAAGACCCAGCCCACAAGAGGTGTTCAATAACTACTTGCTGTCTGATTACACAATAACAAGGAGGGCCACATGCTAAGGACTGACCAAGACACGTTGCCTGTCTCATCTCATTTAATTCTCACAACCACCCTGAAGATGGGGACAGTCATTAGCCTATCTTAGAGATGAGGAAACTGAGGCTCACAGGGGTAGGTAAAAACTTATCCAGCATCATCCTGTGGTAGGGCCTAAGGGTTACACAACCCAGGGCCTGTTCCAGCAGAGCAGTAAAGAGCTGGCCTGAGGTCGATTCCCAACTGCACGTCTTACTCTAGCTGTGTGTTCTTGGGCAAGTCAATTACCCTCTCTGGGCCTCAATTTTCCCATCTGAAAATGGGAATAATGATAGCTGAACTCATAGAGTCACTGTTCTTTAAAAAAAAAAAATTTTTTTTTAAATTATGAAATTGTTCAAGCAATCATAAAAAGGATGTAATAAAGAACCCCCATATAGCATCAACTGGATATAACAATTACCAACATTTTATCATATCTCTTCACATTTGCCAAAGAATTTTAAAGGACATCCCAGACATCACGACATATCTTAGGCAAAATACATAAAGCAAGTAATTTCACTTCTGAATAGTTTAGTGGTCATTTCTGAAAACAAAGGAGGCTTCTTTTATAACCACAATCATCATACGGCAGGCTCTTAGGAAGATTAGATGTGTTCATGTGTGGGGCAGCACAGGGCCAGGCTTATAGGAAGCCTGCCTCCTAAGTTACAAGGCCTAGGAAGGTCCTGACCCATCCCCTTCCCCAGGACACAGCCCCGGCCTCTGGAAATCACTCGTCCAAGCCCCTTGCTGCACAGCCAGGCCTGGGCACAAGGAAGAGACTGCCATGGCCACACAGCCACAACAGGGGCCTAACAGGACAAGCCCAGTGTCCTGTGGGCTGTATCTCTGACTCGGCCAGGCTGCGGTCAGGGGGCCCCAGGGCTCCCAGCAGATCTCACCAGTCGTCTAGCCGCCGCTGCAGCTCTGGGAGGAAGAACTGCGAATGGAACTGGTAGATGGAGGATATGTTGGAGAAGATGAGCCTGACCACATCCTCGGGGAAGGCCTTGCTGCTGCGGGCCTCCTTCAGCAACTCCTGGAAGAACACCTGTAGCCGGGCCCCAGGTCACTCAGCCTGTGGGGAGAGGGAGACCCACCAGCCTAGGAGGAGACGCTCACAGCCTAGGGGGACTCTGGGGCCCTCTCCAGCTTACTAACTGCTTCAACTCCTTAATCTCCCAATGTCTTCACAACAACCCTGGGAAGAGATAGGCAGGAGGATTGTATTCTGGCCACTTTACAGATAGGCAAACCAAGGCCTAGGGATGCAGGGGCTTGGCCAAAGGCTGGTAACTGAGGAATGTCAGGAATGGGCTGGCCCTGGCTCTGCCAAAGCCTTGGACTCTACCAAGCTAGAGATCCCCGTGCTGATGGCTAATGTGTCAATGGGTCAACTCTCAAGCTTCAGGGCTCCTTGAGAAAGTGTGAAGGGGTGCCCATGGTGAGGATGTGGGCATTGTAATGGCCAGTGAGTCTGCAAGGGCTGGTTGGTGTGTCCTCTGCTCTATGTGGGGTCAGCCCAGGCACCAAGGGTAGAAAGAAGACGTGCCAATGGGCTAAATCCTAATTTCTACCCCAACTTCAGCCAATGGGGTTAAAGGGCTAAGGGCTTGCTGGAGTCAAACCCAGGGGTCCTAACTCTCAGTTCTGGTGAGTTGGGTCAGAAGGGAGAGTAGGGGTGGAGTGAAGTGGGTCAGAAGGGAGAGTAGGGGTGGGGTGAGAAGACCAGGGTTCTGGGGCCCTGGTAGGGGTTGTCCTAGCCACTGGCCTGGTCCAGCAGGTGAAGGCGCGCCACATAGGCCTGCTCTGTCTCCAGCAGCTCCTGGACAATCCTCTCCTTGGGCTCCTATATGGGGATTGGAGGGCAAGAAGGAGAAGAGGAGGGAAAGCTTTGGTCTCCTCTGAATGGGACCATGAGCACCAGTCTCCAAAGATGACCCAGTGAAGCACACCTCCTGGTATTCACGATCTCTCCCGCTCCCACCAGTGCATCTGGCCCACGCCTGAGGTCACTTTAACTGATATAATGTGGCAAAAGTAAGACTGCGCCAGTTCTGGGCCTAAGCCTTAAGTGGGCTAGAAGCTTCCATTTGTGCACGCTTGCTTGGGAGCTGTGAACCATCATGTCAAGAGGTCTGGCTACCCTGATGGGGAGACCTCGTGGAGAGACAATATGGAGAGGAGAGGTCTGCAGAAAACATGGAGAGAGATCTCAAAGGGCGGCCCAGCATCCCTGCTGAGGCACCAGGCTGTGAGTGGAGCTATCTCGGGCATTCCAGCCCCGGCCCGCATCTGACTGCAGCCGCCTGAGAGACCCTAAGTGAGACCAACAGAACAACCGTCCAGTTGCATCCAGTCAACCCACAAAACTGAGAAATAATAAACTTGTATTAGGCTGCTGCGTTTTGGGGTGGTTTGTTAGGCAGCAATCGATAACCAGAACACACTACCATGTTCATCCTCTCCATTTTACAAATGGGGAAACTGAAGCACAGAGGTTAAAGTGACTTGCCCAAGGTTATACAGTTAGCAAGCAGTCAAGCTGGGATGGGAACCCAGGCAAGCTGGTTCCAGGGTGCACAACCTTGAAAACCCTATGGAATGCAGTCCTACTTTGCCCACATGGCATTGCCGTGAGTTAGAACTGACTCGGTAGCCACTGATTTGGTTTTGGTTTTTAACCCCTGTACTTTTGCAGTGAGCAAACTGAAACCCACAGAAAAGAGGTGACCTGCCCAGGATCAGACACGTCATTAAGGGGCAGGAATTAGCACTCAGATCTTTATTACTAATTTGGGAATCTTGCCTCCTTCAGTGGGTAAACTGAGGCCCCACCTGGGAAGGGTACCAGCTTCACAAGAATGGAGACTGACTGTTCTAAGCTGTTTGGCCTTGGACAGGTTCCTTAAGCTGTCTGAGTTTCAATTTCCTTGCTGGAAAAGTCTGGAGTGAGGGAGATGTGAAATAAAGCCGGCAGTAGTGTGCATAATAGACAGTTGATCAAAGGCTGTTAAGAAAGAGAATGAAATGTTCTAGCTTCCAGCTGATCTCTGGTTTCACAAGACCCCCATCTGGGGGAACTGCTGGCTCTGACTAGGGGTTTGGGAGAAAGTGTGAGGAGGAGGTGGACAGGCCCCATTCCCTCACCTCAGCCCCAGCCCTCAGGTACCTGTGTCCCTGACCCAGGGCCAGTCTCGGGCTGGTAGGACTTCCTCCAGGCCCCGCTGGACAGCTTGTTCTTCAGGGAGCTCAGGTACCTTCTGCTGACCGTCCTGGGCTCAGACCCCAGGGATTCCCCCAGGCTGTAGTTTTCCCATGGCTCTGGGGTCTGAGGAGGTCTGTACCCAGGTTGGTGACTCTTGTCCTCCAGCATGTGAGCTCTGGGTACTGCTCCTGGGGTACTGAGAACAGAGCAAACCTGAGGGTTCCCTTGTCTGTAGAATAGGGAGAGAGAATAACAACACCTTCTGGGGGCGAGGGAGGGATGGCAGGGTGATGAATGCAAATCACCACGTGCAGTGGCCCCCGAGTGTCCCACACTCATAGGAGCTTACTAAGTAGGCCTTCCACTTCCCTCCTACACATTTCTTGTAGGGAACTCCAGCCTTCAAAATGAGTCAGCCTACACTGTGTCTTAGTCTCTGGGGAACTACATACTTCCCTGTTTGAGACACAGCTGTGTACAGGAAGCCCTGTTCTGTACACAGAGGCTTACCCTCATCTTTGGACTTATTAACAGGGAGAGGCCTCACCTCTGTTTTTGGTTTTGGCAGAGGAAAGACCCCAGAAGCTGTAATAACTGGTACAATGAGGGAAGGTGGGAGCCATGGAACAATCTAAAGTGAGGGCAGAGCTGCTAAAGCAGGGTCTTTTCAAGGGCCTGTGGTGACAGCTGTGCCTTCCACACCTCCACCAGGGGAGGAAGCTAGCCTGGGAAGAGTTACCTTGTTCCCCAGGAAGGGTCTTCATGAGGCAGCTTTGTTCCTGGGGCTGTAGATTAGTTAAATTCCTTAGATAACAGAGGCCACCGTCACTGACTATATCCAAGGACTTGGGCTGTGCCCCGTTGTCCTTGGTGTGGAAAGGCTTGCAATGACAGCCCAGGCTAGGCATTCTCAGGAGTAAGATAGGTTGGAAAATGGAGGACTACAAAGGCAGAAGAATCTCCAAAACTCTGTAAGGAAGGTTTTCATTATCCCCATTTTGCAGCTAAGGAGACTGAGGTAGGAGAGGATAAGTAATTTGTCCTCGACCACACAGCTAGGAGGTGGCAGAGGTGGGATTCAAACCAGGCAGGCTGGCTCCTGAACCTTCCCCCTAAACTTCTTCTCCTTATTTGAGTAAAGCAGAAACAGGTCCAGAGAGTCAACATGGCTTGCCCCAAGTCACACAGTCAGTTGGTGGCAGAGAGGGGATCCGACTCAGTCTCTGACTGCTACTCCTGGGATCTCCAGCCCCTCGTTGATGCCTCAGCCTACCAGTCACAGCTCATGTGAGTATCTGGGCCTCAACGTTTCTGTTCTACATTTGGTTTCAGCTTCTGCATTTCTCCCCAAGTGCCCCAGGCCAGCTTCTCTTTCCTCTTCACCCTTCAGTTTCAGATCAGCTAAAGCACTGGGGACCTCGCAAGAAAGCCCAGTTCAGGGCAGTTGACATGGAGTCTCTCACTAAATAAGGGATGTCTCTCCCACACAAGACTGCTTGGACCCCACTCTGGTCCAGCGCTCCCTCCTCCATGCCTGGGTACTTCCTGGGCAGAGCACAGCATGCAAAGGATCCCAATCCAAGCATGTCTATTCCATGCCCGGAGTGCTAGGTGAGGTGGGGCCACTCACAAGGGGGCTCGGAAGGTGGCACCATGAGAGCTGTCCTCGGTGCTGAACAGAATATGTTTGGCAAAGGACTCTGGGAGAGGCAAAGCAAGATCACCCAGCTCAGGAAGTTGAATGCCTTTCTAGGTCCATCTCTATGCTACCTCCGTCTTGAAGCCTGCCCTGAGTGCCTTCAACACAGCATCTGCTTCCCTCCTAGGACATCTAGTACATGACCTTATACATTAATATTACCTATGAGAATCCCAAACACAGTACTTGGCTTATTAAATGTCTGCTGAGTGGATTAATGGCACACACATACACACACAGCTTGCCAGGGCTACCAATGACCTCCATAACGTGGGCCACCCTGTCCCTTCAGCCAGAAGCCCCAGCAGTGCCCAGCAACATGTGAACTTGATGCATCTGGCATCCTCACCTCTCTGTGCTTCTTTTCCTCTTCTATAAAATAGAAATAGATAGAACCCACCCCAAGTTAGGCTGTTAGGCTGATTAGACGAAATGAGTAATGAAGTGCACTTAAGTCAGTGCCTATAGGTAGGGGGACCGTGCATCCAGGTTTTCCCAATACGGTCCCAACTTCACCTGTTGTCCCAGAAAAAAAAAAAAAAATAGCATTCACTTTCAGTTTCCAATGTGCCCTGGTTTGAATGACAAATTATATAGTTGTCCTACTCATGGGAGTAAATGCTGGGTAAATATTAGCTATTATGTCTTTGAGGTGCTGGAGGGGCAGGGGGTGGAGTTGGGCAGCCCAAACACTACCTTTGATCCTCCCACGCTGATGCTTAATGACACACACATATGTCTGGACTCTTCCCAATGCATACGAGGCACTCTCACTCCTGCCCAGCTCCTGGTGCCCCAAGGACACTATTGTGCTCCCAAGAACCCATAACCAGGGACCTTGGTGTGGCGCAGACAGTGGGAGGTAGGGCCCAGAGGGAGGGCTGCTCACAGGGAGAGCCCAAAGTGGTGCAGGCCGTGTTCCCCAGCATGGAGACTGGGAGGGCATGTGCTGCCTGAGGACCTGGGGGTGGGCAGAGGGGCTGAAGCGAGGCTGCCGGTCCCCATAGTGACCTTTCCAACCCCAGCTGCTCCGTACCTGTTCTCAAATCCAGTCTCCAGGTTGGACACAGATGCCAGCTCCTTCTTGTTCACCCCCTCCATCATGCAGGCCTCCAGGCTGGTCCTCAGTCACCCTCAAAGCCGGGAGGAGCAGCCAGCACAGCCAGCACACTCAGCCACCCCTGCCTGTGGACATGGAGTGGCTAAAAAGTCCCAGAATCTTCTCCCATCTTTCCTGAGGACTCTGCAGGCCTGCTCCTGCCTTCACAGTAAGGAAGAAGGAAGTGGTCTCAGACCACAGCCCAAAAGGGGAAAGGCCAGTGCTTCCCACAGTGGGAGGAGCCCACTCCAGCCCCAGTTCTGCCCTCAAAAGGGTTGACCTTTAAATCTGCAGACCCCTAGTTCTAGAATCCACCCCTGAGGGGGCAACAGGACTCAGAGATAGTTTCTGGAGCCAGGCCCCTTACTGACCTCTTGGCCTGAGCGTCTCTGGTCAACCACACTTGCTCCCTCACAAGATCCAGTGGTTTTACTCAGTCCTTTTCTCAGAAGCTTCTTTTCTTCTTTTCTACGTCTGAGCCTGCTCACTGCTTTAATTAAAAACAAACACGAATCTGTTAAGGGCTGGCCTGAGAAAGCCCAGGGAGGAGTACTGTTGTTTCCACTCCCCCACTGGGGTTCTTTCCACTTCATTGTCCCAGGGGAAGGGAGCTTCCTCTCTGAAACTCTGATGATAATAGCTAACACACTCTTTTTAGTGCTTTGCAAGTATTATCTTATTTAATCTATAACAGCCTTTTGAGGTGGATCCTATTACTATCTCCATTTTATGGAAGAGGAAACTGAGGATCAGAGACCTTAAGTAACTTGCCCAAGATCACACAGGAAGGACACAAGAGAAGTCAGATTTCCAAAGCAAAGATGGGTGTCCTATAATTCCAGCAAAGACTTGGCTGGGAGCCTGGATGACCACATTCTTGCGCTCCGAACACTCTGGGTTGTCTCTGCCTGATGTCATCTGTACCACCTGGTCTCCCGTCCCTGGAGTACACCTTGGCCCTTGCAGAACAGATGGCCACTGCCTCTGTTCTCCTCATTCAATTCTTGTGGGCCATGCAGGCAGTCCTTTCCCACTGGGTTCTCGTCTCATCCTGAGACAGGGTCCTCCATTGTGATTGGTCTTTGTCCTAAAGGGTAGGGACTGAGCCTTAGTCATCTTGGTACTCGAAGCGCCTGGCACAGCTTCACACTCCAGCGATTGTGAACCCCTTCTGCCTCACATGCCCAACAGCTTGGCTCTCAGTTTTGCCTGAGCTGTTTTCTTCCACCAGACATCTGACTCCTCTACCCTCAACCTAAATCTTACTCATTTTCCTCAATTTTTTGTTTTTGTGCTTACTTCTTTTTTTTAAATCCCCATTCCTCCCTCCTGCCAGCTCCTGGGAACCACAAATCTTTTGTCTCAATGCGTTTGCCTATTCTAGATATTTCACAGAAGTAAGATCATATGATATTTGTTCTTTTGTGCCTGGCTTATTTCACTCAACGTACTGTTGTCAAGGTTCATCCATGCAATAGCGTGTATCAGAACTTTATATCTCTTTATAGTGAAATAATACTCCATGATATGCATATACCACATTTTGTTTATTCATTCATCTGTTGATGGGCACTTGGATTATGTCCATCTTTTGGCTATTATGAATAATGCTACAATGAACATTGGTGTACACGTTTCATTTTGCATTTCTGCTTTCAATTATTTTGGATATATACCTAGGACTGGAATTGCTGGGTCATATGATAATTCTACATTTAACTTTTTTTTATGTGTGTGCGTGTCTTTTTTTTTTTTAATTGTACTTTCGATGCAAGTTTACAGAACAGTTTCTCATTAAACAGTACACATATTGTTGTATGACAATGCTTAACAACCCCACGACATGTCAACACTGTCCCTTCTCAACCTTGGCTTCCCTATTACCAGCTTTCCTATCCCCTCCTGCCTTCTAGTCCTTGTCCCGGGACTGTTGTGCCCCATTTGTCTCATTTTGTTTTATGGGGCTGTCTAATCTTTGGCTGAACGGTGAACCTCGCGAGTGACTTCATTACTGAGCTAAAAGTGTGTCTGGGGGCCATATTCTCGGGGTTTCTCCAGCCTCTGTCAGGCCAGTAAGTCTGGTCTTTTTTCGTGTGTTAGAATTTTGTTCTACATTTTTCTCCAGCTCTGCCTGAGACCCTCTGTTGTGATCCCAGTCAGAGCAGTTAGTGGTGGTAGCCGGGCACCATCTAGCTGTACTGGCTCAGTCTGGTGGAGGCTGTGGTAGCCGTGGTCC